GGGCTAGCCATCACGAGCTCCGAGTGACTGAAAGTGATGGGCGTCACGTTGAATGCCTGTCAGGCGTTCAACGTTGATATGGCCCTCAGTCATGTTTTATTACGCACCTCGCTAGCATTCCATAAATTCCCACACGAGGGGATTCTCAAGTTAAGCCCCAAATCAAGAAAAAACGAAACCAATGGGAAACACGCACGAAATGATCGCTCGAAAACGACAAGATGCTACTTACCAAAAACGGATGAGGTCTTACGGGTGTTCCGTGCTAAGTATTCAGGCTGGTGTTTATGGGAAAGTTAGTTTGTTCAACTTATCGAGTTTCCCTTTTTACGGCGACTTCAGAACATAAATCTTGTCAGTCATTCCTGCAGTAGTTTCTTTTGAGTAGTTTGTCCCTGCGGAGAGACGTCTTTCATCATCACAACGTATTATCGTCCTCTACAATGCATTACCATCCGACCACAACGTATTATCATCTTCCTGTTATACTTTTCGTATAATTCTTGTCGTACATACACACTTTTTGTACATATACCTCTTATAAATGGACTCATTTTACGAAACTGATGATACGCCCCAAAATTGAAGAAAAGCGATGCCACCCGTTTTGATAGCGAGGCTCCCAAGTTCCGATTATTCCTGACGTCAAGCTACCTGACTTCAGTACCATGTACGATTGTCCAAAATGTGAAGATATGAAACGGAAGTTGTTTTACCTGGAGTAACTTAAATGGTGGTTAATGTTTTCGATGATTTCAAAGACATAAAGATATATCCGAGGAAATAGATAAGGAATAAACAGCTAGTCAGCAAGTATTCCCGCCAAACGTTTGTGATTTTTTCAGCATTGAATGCTTTTTGACGTTAACACTACTTGTGTTCCAAGAACATATACGAATAACGGTTAATGCCGCATATACTCTTTTGTATTAGTGTAAAGATGTTGCATTTAGCCATGCTTATTTTGAATAACTTAGAATGAATTTAATTCAGGCATGTACCTAGATGATGTATACCTCCATTCCGGTTCCAAGCTTTTGCAACTCGTCTTAAATAATGTTTTGCACTAAAGGGATGTCGATTTGCTTTAATTATCGAGAGGGATGTTCAAGTTTCCCAGCTGCCAGGGCTCAGCCATTCCATACATCTTACAGCGGCAATTTTATTAGCGGCATTCGTTTACGGAGCCAGCATTTTGGCGTTGTTAATTGCGTTTTCGATTTTTAGGAGGGTCGTTGGCGGTTTCATGTTTGTGCTGTTAAGGGCGGATCGTTTCTTACGGACGTTATCTGGCTTAAGGCTACTTTCAAGAGCGTTTCAGAGCCTCCTGTAAGCATTCGTGGGGCATATACGTTTGAGCCATGCCTTAAACATGCATTCAGCAACAGGATAAGAGTAACATCCAGGAAAATGCCCTTCAGCTGCGCAGGAAGCCACCCTTCAGCTGCCCAGGAGGGTGCAGCTGTCCTTCTCTGCACTTGACCGGGTAGTGACGACATTTAGCTTTCCTGTAACTTGCAGCAGAAGAAAACGTGTGTAGAGAGGAATAAAATATGTCGCGCTTGGGCGCCTTCAGAATCAGGTCGAGTTGTGTAGATGCTTACGACAGGGCCGATGAAATCGACCATCTCATCGTTGCCGACACGCATGAGTGGGCCCGCTGGGAGAGGCTCCGCCAAGCTGAACTCTCCAACCGGGGCCGCCCTCAGCCGCATGGTGTCGGGACCGATTTCACACGCTTGCCCGGAATGTGTGTCATTCTTATAAAAAAAACGTGCGGCGCCGTATCTCTGGCTCTAAAACTCAAGGACAAGCATGTTGTATGACTGTAACGTGGGCGATGTTTCTATTTCCGTTCATACATATATGGCATAGAAATACACTGAAATGGATGAGAAGAAAGGTTCACTTTTCAAGTCAACTCCCTCTACTGATCACCATAGGCGAGGGCGTATTCACATCGTGAAGGCAGGGCGCATGCTCAGCACCCTCATTAAATCTATCAAAGCTGTACATGTCAGATGTGCGCATGAATCATGTTAAAACTAAACATATCGGGATGTACACGTTACAATAAGTGGACCAAAAACACACGATGTTGTCGTTTTCACCATGCAACATTGCACGCACCTACGGTTCACTAAACTACGGTTTCAGTAAAGAACGTTGAGCTGAGCCTGCAATCTCCCCTGTGCAATCCTGCATCCTTCATTGACCATAGAGTTGATGTGAAGAGTGGGCGCCATGCCCCCTCAGCACTCTGAGCCCATGCAGATGCCGCTGCAAGTGGGGCTGCCTCTGCAAACGTTATTCGGCGCACCTCTGCGTACAGTACGCGACCCTGGATTAGAGAAAAGGGCAACACTGGACATATAGGTGTTGAATGGAAGAAAATGCTCGAAGGTGGCTATCAGCTCCTTTCCATTTGGGAGGGCGTCCGGCGCCCCTGTACTTGCCGAATGGCCTTGAAGACTTGCCCCCCCCCCCCCCCCTCTCGGCACAAACAAGTCGTTAGGGTTCCGGATTTCTCGGGCTGGGTGTTTCTCAGAGACTCTTAGGTCACCCAGAGAGAGAGCCTACCATCGGACCGGTCAGTGAACTGAAGAGTCAATTTGAAGCCAGACCATGCCTGTTATCCCGTTGCTGCGGGCATCACTTGGCATAGTGCGATTCCTGCGACAGGTGATAATCCGCCGGGCAATGTCATCTCTTGGGTTAGAGCCGGTCGAGGACAACCTATCCAGAAATGGTATTCATAAACAAAAATACGAACTAGCGGTTTTTTCATTTCCATCGTATGGGCTGATGAACGACAACCTACGCAGGCCGACCAATGCCTGCCATTTAACGATGGACCTTTAATCGAGAGGTTAAGCAAAAGGAGCTTGTATCCGGTTTTTATGCTTACACAACGTAACTAAAAGTGCGCAAATTCAAGCTTCGCTTTATGTAGCTAGGCTTATGTCGGGCCTACTCATGACTTCCGATGGCTGCTACTGCTCGTTTTGAAAAATGGAATTTGCTTCGAAGCCCAGGATATGACAGTGTGTTTTATCTACCTGACTGTCACGCTGCCTACTTCCTTGTCTCTCCCCTCCCCTTCTCTCGTACCTATCTCTCACTCCCTCTCCGTCTCAACTCTCCCTCTCATCTGCTCTCTGTCTTGGCTTACACCTCTCTTTTTGTTGTCTCCTCGTGTTTCTTCATTTCCTCGGACGCCCTTTTGTTCCTGCGGTACTGAAGGGGTCCGCACCATCGCTGATTGGCCACCCCACGATCAGGCCCCGCCCTCCGGCTGAACGCCAGCCACTTGGAAAGCGTAGCTGACGGCGGCGGCGGGGCACCAGCTCTCGAGCGCGAGGGGCGTCTCTGAGAGGCGGCGTTGTTCGGGGAAGAGTGCTTCTCTTCTCGGCGACACGCAGTCTGGAGAGGAGAGTGAGTGCACACAGTGGGTTGTTGAGGGCTAGTGCAGAGCTCGCCGATCTTCAGCACGCACTCGACTGGGTCGCTCCACGTGCCTCTCATCTGCGCCCGCCTCTCGAGATACGGCGGCAATAAATTGCTGAGATACCCGCGCAAAGTCGACAAAACATAACGAGTGAGTGGCTGACGTGATTTTGAAGCACTGGTGCATGCTGTGGAGTTTGATACGGGCTTTGAGTGAGTGAACAGGTAGAATGGTGGCATTTAAACAAGATTGAGATATTGACAGCTCTTCACAATTGAGCGATGAAGGCTTCCTACTCTTCACAAAGTGGACTTTACTGTCGATGATAGGCGACTTGAAAAGCTTAAAGCACTGAACAAATTTCGGGGGCAAAAGTGCGTCAACCATCATTGAGCCTCGTACTTCAACCTTTTAAAATCATCATGGATGGGAAAGTCCACCTCCTATCTCTATGATAGCGGCAGCGTGCACCACCGAGCTACTCGAAACCGTCCGAGATTTCCTGGCATCTGAGTGAGTGGCACTTGCGTGCGTCGGTAGAATGTGGGACCCCGCCGGCCCGCGTCGTCGACGCCGCCGAATGCACCCACTAGAGCTGTTTGCTCCCAGCAGCGATTGCTCGCCCACTATCGGCGGTGGCCCGGTGTTGACGCACCGTCAGCTTCATTACGCACATCGACTCGCTGAACAACGGCAGGAACGCCATGTGGAAATGATCACCCAGAATGGTTTCCGGCGCAGCGAGCGGGTTTTGACGCCGTGGAACGTGCCGTTCGACCACAGCTGAAAATTAAATTCTTCGATGATTTGTTCCTTGCGTGGTCTCAGAAAATCATTGCACATTGGACAGCGCAGATCATCGGTCGAACGTCTGCCAGGGGCCAGTGACAATGGCTTGGCATCGCGCAGCGACCGTCGTGTGCAGGTGTGTAACGTGCGTGCACGACGGTTTGTCCGGGGCACTCGGCCCAGCTGCTTCCGCCAATGCCAGTGACGCGTCCCCTCTTGGCATGCTTTCTTGGGTGAGCGTGCGTCACCATGTGCGGGACACACGTTTGTGCCTCGCCGCCACTATCGCTTGGAGGCGACGCAGCTAGTCCCCTTCAGGGCCACTCCGCATTTTACTGGCATTTCAACGTTGGATCGCCGAGATATTAGAGCCTCAGAGCATTAGAGCATCATCCTTCCTTTGGCAACCCAAAGAACGGTGTATAGCAAGAGATATATGCATGACAGCGTATGTTTACTATCTACCATTATGTTGATGTGCTGAAGCATTTTATAGACATATAAACAAATTGCATATTTTGCACAAGGGGTCCCCACAGATGTTACTAATCACCTGCATTACAATGTAATCTGATGCTCCGAATGCAGCTGACCCACCTCCGACCACCCCGCATTTAGAAACACAGGCGAATGTACGGCGGTTGGTTGACGTTCCCAGCAGCAGTATTTTCCATCTGATCCCGCTGTTTTCCACGCAGTTTGACACAAAGTGCCCGTCGCGCTTCATGCAGTGTCCTCAGTGAGCCCATTCCCTGTTCTGCAGGCAGTTCGACATGAAGATGGCCATGCCTGGCTCCAAGTCCTCCAGCTTTACCGTGCGAGACATCCTGAACCTGGGGGAGGGCAAGCCGCCTGTGGTGTCGCAGACTCCGCGGGGCGCCGGCGAAGGTACGGTTCGAGTCGTGGTTGCCTGATCTGGCCAGCAGCGAGTCTGAGTCCGAGTCTGAGTCTGAGTCTGAGTCTGAGTTCGAGTCTGAGTCCGGGTCTGAATCTGAGAGGACGCTGCCCTGCCTGGAGGCGGTGGTTTCATCAACGGCGCGCAGATTCGACCTGATGGCCGATTTAAAAGGAATGCCCCACCATTGACACAAATTTCAAAATAAGACTCTAGTGAAACCTAAGGACTAGTTAGGTCTAATATTGGAAATGAGTAGTTCTACTGCGACGCCATCAAGACATAACAATAATAAAACTGTTTATCATATTTTCGAGTCCAAATCATGCTGTCAACGCTTTGCAACAGTAATCCGCTCCTTCCCTGCAGTCGTGACAGCCGTCGCCATGACGACAGGATCTGCTGGGGGGGGGGGGGGGGGGGGCGCTATCAGCTGTTACTGAATAACAGCAGTACAAATGAACGTTGGTGGTTGGCACAACGTACGGCAGGGGCCAGTTACCAGCTACATACTCCCTTTAAGTCCTTGGTTAAAATTTGAACCAGCGCCCCGCTTCAAACCTTGTAACATTCCGTTTCCCAAAGCCCAAGTGCGCTTCGAAAATAGCCACTGCATTAAATGCCACTGGGGAGAAATCAAAACCATAGCATACCGTTTCGATGAATTCGCGGAAGAATAACGTCATGTTCGCATATTTTTTGGTCCAAACGGAGTGTTTCAGTTTCTCGTATCATTGGTTACAAAAACATTTTGGCAAGTTTGTGTCCTGCAAACATATTGCACACTCGTTTTGGCAAAACGAATGCAAATGGAATGTGTTGCTTTCACTGTCGTGAACAGGAAGTCCGATGAGATTTCTCCCACAGGAGCGGGTACTTCATATCGACATCCTGAGCTGTTCAGTAGGATTTCTGGAAAGCTGGTACGACTGATCAAATCGTACGGGTCAGATCTAATGATAAGAAAAAATACAAAAGGTGGCATGAACACCCTTCAAATCATTGTATAGCATAATCCACACAAACGATAGCATCTTCACATACTTCTAATGACCCACTGTATATGCGACTTCTTCTGTGTATTTCTATACCGCAGTGATCAAACAGGTTGTCTTACACGCACCGTTTGTCATTACCTACTCCTCTCAACCAAAGCAACTATACGTTAAGGTTATATACGACCCCAAAGACATGTGTGTGCCATTGAAGCTTTACGACGCACTCAGCTACTGGGCCATATGGCGTCGCCTGTCTCTCACCCTGACAGGAAGCGCGGGCACAGCTGGGAATCGAACCCCGTACTTCTGGTTTTCCAGACGCGCGGTGGTAAACGCAGACGCGTTTACCACTACACTGCTGGTACCCGACACCAAAGACACGATGCTTTTGTGCAACGGTTTAAATACGAGTTCCGTAGGCACAAGTAAGACCGTTGGGCCTCGGCTCTTTGCCTTTGCAATACCAAAACTCCCCTCCCATCAAAGCCCTGGGCGAATTCTTAAACTTGATACGTCATATCAAAATTTTCGTCGCTTCTGCAGACTTGTACTTTACCAGACTCGGACCCAAAATACTCGACCGAAGACCCAACCCAAACCTAAACTCCCTCGAGTCGCACTGACATTGTCTGCATTTCAGGCAGATGTATGGCCTGTTTCAATTATCATTGAGTCTACTCAAACAAACGCATGAGAAACAAATGATATTCTTACTCTTTCAGGATATCTCATCCTTACTCCGTCTGAGCTAAACATCAACTGTTGTAATAAGTACTTTCTCTGTATCTCATTTTTTAAATGCAGTGATGCATAGGTTTCTGTACTTAAGAGAAAATGTGATTTTCTGTGTTGTGCTCTCTTGAATCGACTATATCAGGACTAGTTCAGACACCTAATCAATTTCAGCATATAAGGGTCACAATTACAGTCGACTAACAAGGCGCCTTGTTGCTTTGTCTACGAGATGCAATCGATTCCACAGAAGAGGGATCCAGCGCGGATCTTGGCTTGTGAGCTCCGGCAATCATAAAAAAATAGTGCTGCATACGCCTATGTCATCGAGAACCACTGCTGCAAATATTTTGTCGAGCCGGACCGTGTCACCTTCACCAGATATGCATAAGACAGTAGTATTAGCCCTATTCCTCGGAGAAAACCAGGAGAATGGGGATATAGTTGGGTTGATATTTCGGCAACATGCCTTTGTCGAAAAAATAGCAGAAGTGAATTCGAAATTGCCTGCCGATGATCCAGCTCGATTTTTCAGTTTTTTTTTTTAAACAGCAAGCCACAGTTTTTGCAGGACAAAAACTGTGGCTTGCCGCTTCAGAAGAAAACCTGAAAAATCGAGAAGGATCATCGGCAGACAATTTTGAACTCACTTCTGCTATTGTTTCGATAAATGCATGTTGCCGGAAATATCAACCCAACTATATCTCCATTCTCTTGTTTTTCTCCGAGAAATAGGGCTATTTCTACTGTCTTATCTATGTGGTTAATGTTCCTCGTTAATGCACTGAACAACTTCACCAAATATGCACAGATGTAGCATTCCTACGACAGGTTCCGATAGCGCTTTTGGTCCCATCACATGCTGCATGCTTCAAGGAGCTGATGTCTATTCCGTACGACGTCCTTCCCATCCACTGCAGGCGTTTAAGACATGCTTCAAATGCACTTATGTATTATTGTTACCTCACCACGTCGCCAACCGCCTTACCGTCGAAGTGCCAGAGTCACACACACACACATTCCCAGTCTCCAGATAAAAACTGCATGGTTTTCGTAAAAAGGATGCAAGTTGTAATGATGTAGTCGGTTTTCACTAACAAATCGTCGCCTTCGACTAACCCTCTCGCGCACCAATCCACTTTGCATGCTACTGAGGTGACAGAGCGCACCGGACCTCGAGCAATTACAGGCGTGTACTAACAAATTTCTCCCCAGTCTGCGTGAAGGGCATCTCGGGACGCTAGCCCAGCGTGCCCCCCCCCCCCCTCGCCACTAACATGAGCTCGTGGCCCCTTCAACTTGCGCATGTTTGAAACTGTCCGGGCACGCTCCTTCGGGCGCCTCTCCGGTATCACCTCTGACCTCCGCATGGCTTTGGTGTCGCCCGGCGGCCGCACGCGCCCGCATGACGCCGCCTCTGTTCTAGTCGGCATGCCCCAGGACGAGTACTGCGGCGCCATGTACACGTCCCAGTACCCTTACCCGGACGAGGGGTACGACTACCGCCAGCCGGCGGTCGGGTACCGGCCCGAGTACTACGACCCGCGCTGGGCTGGCCCCGGCCCCGCGGGCGTGTACCCAGGTCAGTGGGCGTGGCCGGATTTGGAGCCCCCGTGTGGCATGCGCTCTACGCGGGATGTAGCACAGGGACGGGCCGAGCGCTCCGCAGCGCGGGTGGGGGTGGGGGGGGGGGGGGGGCGGTGCTGAGCGAGCTGCTGCGGGAGACAACAGCTGCCTCAGCTGCTTTCGTCTGTGTTTAGGCGCTGGTGCTGGGTGCTGGCCTGTCAGTTCATGGTAAATCGCAAGTTCGGCAGTGTGGCAAGTGGTTTGCTTTCATTGCTCCCTGGTCCCCTTCCAGACACTGACGCACCCTTCAGACATGCCTAGGTTTCTGTACTTAAGAGAAAGCGTGATTTTCAAGATATGACCCACGCTCTGTCCTGACATCCGTCCCTCAGGTCGTCCGTAGGTTCTTCCCCTTATCCTGACTTTCGACCGTTGTCTCTGACTTCTGCACCTGCCTTCGACATCCTGATGCCTGCCGTCCGACCGTTTTCTGCCACTGCCTCTGACCTCCGAAACTGGCCTCTGTCTCTGGCCCTGGTCCGTGACCTCTGCCTGCACACATAAACCCCGACCCCTGACCCCCTCTCCTGCCATGGACACTGATCTCTGACCTCTGTCCGTTGCCTCTGATGTCTACCTTCGACCTTTGGCCCTGGCCGTGGCAGCCTTCCCTGCACTGGGCAGTGACCTCTGACTTCTGGCCTGACCCTCAACCTGGTGCCACAGACGGGCTGGAGCAGACGACACCGCCGGGCGAGTCTCCCGCTCCCACGTGCCCCGTCTCTCCCGAGGACGAAAGGAACGCGGGTACGCCAGCCCGGCCGGCCGACATCCCCGCTACCGTGCCGACGGCGCCGCGCGCCTCACCCTCAGTCGACACCGACGACGGCGCCGACGACGCCGAGAAGGAGGACGCCGCCACGGGCCGCAAGCGCAAGCGGCGCGTGCTCTTCAGTAAGTTACAGACCCACGAGCTGGAGCGACGCTTCCGGCAGCAGCGCTATCTCTCGGCGCCCGAACGTGAGCATCTGGCCAGCCTGATCGAGCTGACGCCGACCCAGGTCAAGATCTGGTTCCAGAACCATCGCTACAAGACGAAGCGCGCCACGCAGGAGCAGGGCGGCATGGATCTGGTGCCGCTGGGCAGCGCGCGGCGTGTGGCCGTGCCCGTGCTGGTGCGAGACGGCAAGTCGATGCCGGCCGTGTCAGCCGGCTATGGCGTGCCGTCGTTCGGCGGCGCCGTGGACCTGCTGCCGTTCAGCAGCGCCTCGATTCCCCACCTCGGTGGTGGCCTCGATGGGCGCGCTGCCCGCCTACCCGCGCCCGCTCATTCAGACCCGCTGGTGGTGACGTCACCGACGCCGTGACGTCACGACAGGGCATGACGTCACTGGTAGGACGGTAGGTGTGTGACTTCGCGGGCGCGGGGCGTCACGGCTGCGGTGACGACACTGGTGGTGTGATGCTGCTGACGCGGTGGCGGCGTCGGCGCGGTGACGTTACTTGAGCGGTGACGTCACATGCGAGTTGTAACTTCATGGCGGCGGAACACCGCCGCGGCCGGGTCTTGTGATATTAGAGAAGGTACAGCAGTGCCGATGTGGTGAGGTCTCGCAGAGAGCGAGACGGCGCATTGGCGGGACGAGCTGGGATTAGTGCATTCGCCGCGTAGGTCCGATGGGCAGGGGCACGCTTTCTTCGCCGCGATGAGCCGCGTTATACGATTGTGCCGATCATTCGTGGAGTACAAACTGGATCAAAGTGATTATCGGAGACTCCGCCGCCATCGTGCCAGTTCAGGAGTCAGCCTTCGCCACCACCGCTCTGTGCTACGCCTTCGAGCCAACGCAATCCTTCCGGAGGCGTGCGTCGTTTCCTTAGTCCGGGCACCCATGTTGCTGAACGGCGCAAAATCAATTGTGTTGCGCTGAATCGCACTTGCAGTGCCAAAGACACAATCGTTTGTCACAGGCGGCAGGAGGTCCGGGAGACGCGCCCGTGCATCGGAACGGCCCTGAGATATTAGTGGTGATCTAGTCCTTCATGTCAGCGACGACTGACCTTGCGCCGGCCCGCGCAGGTCGCGGCCGCTGCTGCGCAGTGTGCACGCGCATCCGTAAGTGTGTGCTTGCATGTGGGATCTCTTACGGACGGTGTCGCTAATGCCATTACCGCCATGTCATCGAAATACCCGCGAGATAACCGTCTGTCAGTGGACTGAGGCGTGTGCCTGCGTGAGTGCGAATATAACAGAACAGGTGCAGTGGTGCAGTGCGCTGGTGCGTGACGCAGGTGGCGGGCGGCGGCCGCGTCCTCCCGAATGTTCCGCGTAGGCTTTCAGTGCGTGTTACACCCGCGTTCGACGCTCGTACCCCTCGCGAAGTGATCGCTTAGCCGGATCTCAAAAGTTGAAAAATGAATTTTTCGTGGTACGGAGAGACGAGACACTGGCGGGGAAAAGGGTAACAGTGTTTGAGTGAGTGATCTACCACGGTTACACATTTACGGCTAGTACTTACGTGAACAAATCACCTATCAGCTCTTCACCTCATGTAAAATTCTTCACATTTTTCCCGCCTATTTTTCTTATCCGGTTTGACAGCATCAATAACTGAATCGTTGCCATTTGTGCGCAAATAATGTAGCACAGCCGAGAGAGAAACTGGAACATATGAAGATATAATGACGGTAGGTAACGGTATCCATAATGTGCTTCGCAGCTGAAACAGAGACACGGCGCTGGGTCAGATCAGAAGTAAAATGTCGGCACACGACTGTTATGAAAAATATATATTTAGTCGTTGCGTTCATATGCATTGACAGTCCGTAGGCTTATATGCGGGCGCAGCCGATTGCCAAGAGACAATGGATATATGGTAAGCGCTTAAGATACACACATGCTCTCAGCAAAGTTGTGCTCGAGACAACTCCACACTGATTGAATCAATTTTGGCTCAGAATAACTGGGAGCCGAATCAAGATTGAAATCAAATTTGCGTTTTAAAAGGCAATTCGAATCATTTGTTAACTGAAGTAGATGGACGTAGTAGATCCTGACCTTACTTCTAAATCAGGCAAAACAGAGTACGCACCATGATGTGCCTCGATTTAATTTGAATCCAAATAACTGTTTGCGATACAACACTTGCGTATATGTAACAACACCGACATATTTCAGACCTTGGTGATTCCCAATGACTGAGCTGTTGAATTGTTAAGAATATTTTGATTACCCGCACCACAACACGCTTGGCAAAACGTACCAGGACTCTGTTCAGGTGTGTTATCGAAACAAATACATTCGTTGAAACATCAAGCGTTGCCCATAGGCAGCAACTGTATGGAGGGAATAGTTTCGAAGTACATAATCGGAAAAAGGCTTGGCTATTTCATCCCCAAATGCCCTGAAAACCTCTGATATGCCTTGATGAGCGCATATTTTCATGATACAGGCTGTATGCGTGTTGGTCTTAAAAGCAGCAAAATTGTGTACAAATGGTTGGAAATGTTCTCATTCATGCTGTCATTTTTTTTTTATTATCTCGAATTTTTGACGGGACTGGACTTGTTGCTCATTCAAGCCGAATCATTGTTCATTGAGGTGATTTAAGTCACAAAACCGCATCAAATCTGGGCGATTCAAAATCACCTCCAAATCTAGGAATTCAAATTGAGCTTAATTCAATGAACATGTGGATGATTTTGATTCAGTTATGCATCTAAATTGAACGAAGCACGCGTCTGGCCCATATATACCACCCTTTCCTGGAGCGAGCCTGATAACATCAGATCTGAATGTTCTGAACAACTGAATGAAGTCCACTGGTAAGACACGACAAAGGAATCTAATGCAGATTAGTAGCAGTCGTATCATGAGCCTGTTTGTCACAGCATTAACCATATCAATGGCCGTGTGGACTACGTCTGCGAGCCGATCCCAACCATATGGGGAGCCGGTGATTCAGACGTTCGAAGCAAGAGGTATATGCCACGCCTGTGAAGCCCAAGCTAAAGCTCTCAATGACAGAACCAATGCATCCATTGAAAACACGCATCAAAATACCCGCCGTGACATTTCTTCACTTTCCATCATGTTCACCGTGCCGGTTATGTAGGTTTACACGTCGACCAGGAATTTTAAAACTGAGCAGTTTCATTCGGGCGATCAAACCGGTGACGACGTCTGGAATGTTTCCGACACGTCACACCCCTAGCCTGACGTCACATTGCGGAAGGTGACGTCACCCACCCAGCGGTCATCCAAGCACACCAGCAGAGGGTAGCTTTGCTATTGTTGTAGGTCACGACAGCTGAGGACCATCTCCTGTGAGGCCATCTGCTGCGTCATGGCCTTCTATTTTCAGCGCCACATCGGCTGAAACACAAACAGGACGAAGGCAGCGAAATCGCACGCCAAGCCAAACCCCAGCGTTCGGGTTGGTGAGTTCCCATGAACAGCTAACAGAACAGGCTCCAGTGTACTTTTACTGAGCTGCAGGGGCGTGCGCATAAGCTCACAATGAGGCCAGTTCAGATAAAAATGTGACCGAAATTATTCAAGTGGCATTCAAGACTTTTGATTCACTTCCCCAACAGAAATTCTGGTTCGTGCTACGCAGGCGCCCGAAATTCTTCTGTGGAATAAGCCATCATCACATACTTTCGGTTTATCGGGCTGTATTTACCTACCTAAAATTTGTAATTGCCAAGATGCACTCAGGCACACTCACGTAACAAATTTGATAAGGGAGAGGGCTGCCTCTGGAGGCCACCAGGTGCGTACGCCCCTGCTGAGCGATCATTCTCGTGGCATCTGGTGGGGTGACGCCCCTAATTTGGGCAGGGAAACGCCCCGAGCCCAAGTGAAGGAGCCCCCAGGGAGGCCTCAAACCCAAGTAAAGACGCTTCCTAAGCCTTACTGAAGATGACCCTCTAAGGTCAGGCGGAGGGGCGTCCACAAACGCAGGTGGGAGGGCCTGGCGCGTGGGCTGGTGTTCATTGATCTGTTTCTTCGGGTGGGCGGCAAGTGGAGACAATGGGTAGCCAACGACATTCGTCCAACCTTCCGACCATTGGCTCCAAACATTCAAGAACCGGCCATCACCGCGAACCGGGGCTTAGGGACGCTGCGACGGGTTGTTAAATACTACGACTTGTGTGCTTTTTTATAGCAACACTGGGTTTCTGTATTCTGAAGCAGTGCTGTGTTTCTGTGTTCTGAAGCAGTGCTGTGTATCTGCGCTCTGAAGCAGTGCTGTGTTCCTGTGTTCTGAAGCAGTGCTGCGTATCTGTGCTCTGAAGCAGTGCTGTGTTTCTGTGTTCTGAAGCAGTGCTGTGCTGATGTATTCTGAAGCAGTGCTGTGTTTCTGTGTTCTAAAGCAGTGCTGTGTTTCTATATTCAGAGGCAGTGCTGTGTTTCTGTGTTCTGAAGCAGCGCTGTGTTTCTGTGTTCTGAAGCAGTGCTCTTTCTGTGTTCTGAAGCAGTGTTGTGTTTCTGCGTTCTAAAGCAGCTCTGTCTTTCTGTCTTCTAAAGCAGCGCCGTGTTTCTGTATTCTAAAGCCGTGCTGTATTTCTGTATTCTGAAGCAGTCCTGTGCACTCCAGTGTGAATCACGGTGCGTTTCTTAGAACTGATTTGGAACGAACCAAGCGACCCTCAACATGCGACTTCCCCGGTCTTGTGTTTGTTAGAATTCAGAATCCTAATCATGTGATTCATCATTTTGTAACATGAGAAGGCTTGTCGTTTTAAAAGTTAGGCGCGAGGAAGACGCCTAGCTGAGTAACAACAAACATTGCTTCGACATACATCAGTGCGATACCTGTTCATGTTCAAACAAATGTCGGTATTATCTACATGTGACTCACGATACACTGCTATCATTGCACCACAGCCTGCTGCTCAGTCACCTCGGAAGGATTACGCGGCCTTCCCTATCAAGCGCCCGTCCTCTGCAATGAGAGCCAGAGACCGTTGCGCAGATACGATAAGAGGAACGGACACCCGATCTGCTGTCACACAAAGGACCTGAAAGGCGCTGCAGCGGGGAGCGCTCGCGATGTTCAACATGAACAGTCGGAGAACTGCAGAGCTGCACGGGGCAGTGACGGCAGGCTGCCGGGGTCACCGAAGGCTATCGCTGCTGACAGTGCTGCAACCTGATTTATAGGGTCCTAGTTATGGCCGTGAGCCACGGATATGGTGTAATTGCTGATAGCGGCGCCGTCGAGATTAAGTTGGTGAAGTAGAGGCGATGGACTGTGGTTAGTTGCGGCATAATATACCCTAGCCCTTTATTTCGTCGCTCATGCCATATTTATTTTACCTCAGGCTAACAAATGCAAACAGATATGAATATTTTTGAATTTTTGATAGTCTCGTGCCATGGTTAGACGGGGCTGCAACGGTCAGATCAAAAAGAGCAGAAAAATGACGTCGTTCTTGCGATCGTGGTAAAATACTGCCTGGTGTAAAATACTGGCCTCTGGTCTTAATACTCTTTACCTGACTTCATCCAATGCTTCCCAAACTAACCTTGCAGACGAAGCCAAAAAAGGGCATCCCAATCCGTCAAAATCGCCGGAACATTTGCACTCCTGCGCAAAGCCGGCAAACGACAAGGCAAATCTTCTTTTTGTTCAGTGTCATTATTATTTGCACTATCATTGGGTTTTGGAACACGGCACTGTCTAATGCTGGGGTTCAAATCGCCATCAATAGCGCGAAGGATTTCTAAGACCTAATAAAGTTTATTCCCTTTCATGGCAGGGCATAAGGAATGAAGATCATGGAATCATTTGACTCGAATCGTATGCTATTCGTGAATGGTTAAACATTCCCTTTGAAGGGAATGACTCACATTTGAAGACATTGAAGCAAGAATCAGGTATGTCGAAACAAGCTAACATACTGCCATTGGTTGGTTTTTTAAGTGAAAAGACTGCTTTAGATAGCGCGCTTCCCTGCTTAGTAAATATGCTCCTCAATGCGTCATGGTTTGATTGCCTCATTGTACCACGAAGAGCATTTACTGACGGCCATTATATCTGGAAATTTCGCTCACGAGCATCATATATGAACGCCTCAACCATTATATTTGTCTTGGCCCTGATTGCCGCAT